GGGGGCCAGGGCGGCTGCCCTGCGGGGCCAGCTCCCGGGGCCCACAGGGGACACTGCCCTTTCTCTTCATCCACTCCTCCTCCTCCTCTCTTTTTTTTCCCTGAGATAATTTCAGCTGCTCTCAGTACTCTTATTATTAATACGTTTTTCCCTACTGTCCCCTCCGCCTTCCTGCCCTGGCCGCTAGCCCTCCGCAACCTCGTCAAAAGGATGGGGAGTGTTTGGGGTGGGATGCAGCTGTGAGGGAGATAAGCCTGAGAAAAGGAGGGGGGAGCGAAAGGGAGAGATTTTGCAGTCGTCTCTGGGCTGATTGGAAGAGGCAATCACTATATCTGAGGCCGGAGGATTAGCAGCTAAACTTTTATTGCTCCCTTTTTTGTGCGTGCGTGTGTGTGTGTGTGTGTACGTGCGAGTGTGGGGGTGTGTAAACGGAGAAGTCGTCCCTCAAGGGGGAATATCTTTTCAGTTTCCCTTTGGCAGGTGCGGTTCACGTGGAGACTCATGAGCATTTTGCCTGATCCGTGACCTGATTAGGGGAGGGGAAACGATTCCTCTCCTCTTACTCTTCCTTCTCCAGTTTTTAAAGCATTTTTTCCCCACCATCGCCACCCTCCCGCCCTTCCCCTCCCCTTCTCCTTCTTCTTCCCCTTCCCCTGCACTGAATGAATGGAAGAGTCTCCAGGGTTTTCTTCTGCTCCTCGTCCCGAACTGGAGAAGTGAGGGGACATCTCTCTATCCTCATCCATCTCCATCTCGCTCCATCCACCCCCGAGAGGATTTCAGGCGGTGCAATGTGTTTTCAGCCTCTTGCCGCTGCTACCACTTGATAGGATGCTACACGCGGGGAGAGGGTTTTGCAAAAATGGATTTGTTCGATTTTGAAGGATTTCTTCTCTAATAAGGATCGCATTGCACACAAATATGACTAAATCCCCTATTTGGTAAATCTTTCTTCCCCCCACCCCTCCGGGTTCCCTCCCGCCCGCCCCCACCCCTTCAGCGGAGCAAG